TCAGGTAGGTTAATTAAAAATGTCGGGAAGACAATTTTGCTTATATCTAACTACCTAACCCTAACCTTAATATTATTTATTTTTAATAAAAATTTTATAATACTAGATGATATCGCTATGAGTAAAAATTAACTATAATCTATATTAAAATTGATACCTAAATGATCCATATAGGCGGATTTGCGTCATTACTATTAAAATGGTAAAATATTTGACGGTGAATAATTTTTTATTCACTGATCAGTTTTGTCACCAAAATGACCGTCTCGGCGAGACGATTCTAACGAGCCCAAATTTGTTGAAACCTAATCATGGAATCCCGAGATAATTAAAAGGTTGTTTGCCTCGGGTAAAATAGGGTGGGTTTAACTCATCCTATTTTACCCGAAGCCAAAATACCTTTAATTATCTTGATTCGATTTCAACAAATTTGGTCGAGGTAGTAAAATCACCAAAAACTGATCAGTGAATAAAAAGTTATTCACCGTCAAATATTTTACCATTTTTAATAGTAATGACGCAGATCCGCCCATATGCATGACGAATAAGTGATAATTTGTCATAAAGTAAAAATTGGTAGTATAATGAAAAAATCCATGTTTGCTAAAGAATTGATTACTTATAAGGTTCGCCGAATCCGGATCCGCATAGAGGCCATTTAACACTTCAAATATGGATTATTTTATTTATCACTCAATTAAATATACTGATCCAAATTTGGATCGGATCTGATCAATTTTTATAGTTCCAAATCCATAGTTAGACCGAATCCGATTTTTCAGATTGATGTAGACGGAAACGATAATGCTTTCAACAATTTAAGATTCCTATTCATTAAGTCCATAAAGTAACATTAAACAATTTGTCCAAACACAAAAAGCACCCTTTTATATCTTTCAATCCTTCTTTTCCTCCCTTGTTGTAACCTTTACTAATCTCTCAACCTTCCTTGAGTTTTTACTTGCGTCAAGGGTCGACATCATGACGGTATCACGTGCGGTCATGAGTACTAATCCGATGGCGAAAATAATCATGGGATAAGCATTTAAAGAAATAAATATGGGGTTGTATAACATTATTTCACTTTTTTACATATTTACGATGCATACACTGTTTGCTATTCTTTTTTGCGGATCAGCCTGTAACAACAATTTGAAACGGAGTTACAGCATATCCGATTTTAAAAAACCATGCCAAACTAATTAAAGATTATGCCGGGATTTGGGATCTTCCATTTAAACTTATAATACTTACTAAAATCCACCTATAATTTTTTACTAATAAAAAAATAAGTTAAAATTCCAGCATAAGCAAATCCCAGATAAATCAGGTGACATTTATGGTCTGATATTTGTTAAATCATAAACATCACCTGATTTAAATCACTAAAAATCCTTTTTTTTTTTTTTTTTAATTCCTAACCTTAATGCAAGCTAATTATACTGTATAACATCAGATCATTCTTAAAATTTGCACCTAGAGTTGGTTCCTTTTAATATCCGTTGTGGATATTTACTGAATATTTTCACGAGTTTTAGTCATTCACGAATGAATATAATATTATGTAAATTTAGCTATGATCTGGCTATTTAAGCAAATATTCATCGAATATTCACGACTACGTACGTATTCACAAATTTTTGTGTAACTAATCTATTCCTTGACTATTCACGAATTTATACGTATTCGCTCTTAATTGAATATTCATTCTTATCCATGGATATTCACGGATCACACCTCTATTTACACCCATACTGATTTGCACAATTTAGGTTTGAAATTCAATTATTCATGAGATCTAAACAGTGTTCAGACGTTATCGTTATAATTGACATTCCGTATTTGGAATATATAGTAATAGTTAATGAATGATAATGATAGTTACCGACAATCATTTCTCTAACGGGCCATTAACCGACATCACACCAGATGATAATTTACTAATATATTACTTGCGACTATTAAATGCTAAATTGTCATCCTGCGTGATGTCGGTCTATCAGCGAAAACGATTTTCGGTGAAGCAAAATAGATATTATTTCGTTAAAATGAAACATTACAATGTTAATACATATATTTGAGTGTTTCAAGAAGATCTTAAAATTGTATATAAACGTCGAGAAATTTTTGCGCCGTACATTTCAAATTCATTGAAACATAACAAAAAAGAAAAAAGAAAACTTTTCACTTCAAAAAAAAAGTAACAATGAAAACCTCAACGCTCGTAATTTTGGTCATCTCCTTGGTGCTCATTATTTCTCTTAACGTAATGGCTGAATCAGAAGTTAAACGCGGTTATGATGATTATGGCTCCAGTTATGATTCTAATGACTCTAAAAGCACCGGTAGCTCCATTCTTTATTCGTTGAACGCTGCCCAGATGGGCTGTGTAATTGGTGGTGTAGTTGTATTGGGTGGTTTAATTGGTTTTTAATCTTGCCACATTTACGTATCCAATAAATACTACATGAGGAAAAAAAAAAACCAAAAGAATACAATGTAAATATGATGCACCTTCATCATAGTTTTTTAGTATATAGTATAATGAGCTACAACAAAACACTTGAAATTTGTCATTTTATTTATTATCACATTAATTAGAGGATTTTTCCTCCATATATCGTAGATTTGTTCTAATATTTTAGCAGTTCAAATAATATTTGTTTCTCTTTAGAAATTTTATTACATGCATTCTTTTTTTTTTTTTCTTTTGGTATAATCAGAAATAGATCTTGTTCTTAAAATATCGTTCTTAAAACGCAGAAGATTGATCTCAAACTTTAAGACCACAGCCCTTTTCAAGGCTATATTTTCTGGCAAAACCTGGACAAATCCCAAACCCAAAAAATTACAAATCAAAAAAATGATCTTAATACTTTGCAAATATATTATTTATAATTGTAAAAATATATACCATTTGTTTAAACAAAGATTATTAATAAAATTTTAAGATGTTAGTTTGAGATTTGGCGTGGACAAATCCATACTACGTATAATAGTTTGGGATTTTGACGGCAAGTATAGTCAAGACTGCATAATCATGGATCGTTATTGTCACGGGCTAAAATGAAGGATCTACAAAATTAGGCACAGCAAACTCGTGATCGAAATAATAAATTCAAGAAATACTGGTTTATCGGTTGAGGCTTATCGGCCGAATAAAGACAAAACAATAACCAACGCGAAATCCGAAGAACAAGAAACACGAAAGAAGAAATAAAAGAAGACCGAGTGTCAAGATTAGGATATAGTTGAAGTGGCTGAAAAGCGAATAATTGTATTGAGAAGCAAAGCCCTTCTTGTTCTAATAATAATATTGTAAATTATCATTGTAAGCCCCTTAGCTTAGAAATAGTTCCCTTAAATTCGTTAACGATGTAATATGTGAGTCATCCCTAAGCCCTTGAATCCTTTATATTCGCTAAAGCTATAAAAACTCTAGCATTTCGCCCTTCTCAAAGGACATCCTACGGGATTCCAATAATTCCCTCACAATACATTTATTAAATCACCTTGACAAACTCATTTAATAAAATAAACTATTGTCAAATCACCATCGTCACGCCTCTGGCGAATGCCTTATATTATAAAAATTCTATATTTTCGTGTATAAACTAATTAAACGTACGAATCACCCCGTAACATTAAATACTGTTTAGTACTGCTTATAGTATCCCCATAAAATAATAATGCCAGCATATTATTTACTTAATGCTCAGGGGAATACTATATTGTGTTTTTACGATTTTCTCAACAAATTTCCCCGACACCTAATTCCTACCAACTCTAACTCTAACTCAAGGATATAATCTGAGAATCGAATCTGGTCCAAGCCTTGGATTCAAATCATGTGATTTGTTGACTACATAAATCTGAATACAGTATTAATTATTTCATTATTTAATATATTTAAGGGTTAGAAAAGGTCATAATATATAGTAAAATTATGCATAATGATTTTGCCAAAACATAATTGTTTAATAAATAACTTTGGCTACCGTATATATTTCCGAAAATAAGCTACCATTTTTGGCTAAAAAGTTACACAAAAATATTGCGGGTAGCTTATTTTCGGGTAAAAGTGGATTTTGCTCAACAGCGAAAAATTTTACTAAGTAAATCGACCTAGCTTATTAAGTGAAAGTTGCTCGAGAGATCAAAATACACGTATCCTGAAAGTTTTATCCAAATCGGATGACCTTTTGTTAATTAACTTTTGTTGTTTACGTTTAACGAATATAAATTTTAAGAAATTTTTAAAATTTTCGTCGAACGTAATATGCAAAAACGTATTAATAAAAAGTTATCCAAGTTGGATGAAACTTTTAGAATGTGTATTTTGATCTCCCGAACAACTTTTACTTAATAAGCTAGGTCGATTTATTTAGTAAAATTTTGTTGACTTTACTATAGAGTAACTGCTAACGATCGTATAGTAGCTTATTTTCGGAATTAGAAATTTTATAGATTTTTGATCTAAAATAAGGTAGTAGCTTCGTTCGGATGTAGCTTATTTTAGTATTATAAATAACTTTGGTTACTTAACTGATTTGTTTGGATCTCAACAGTCGGTGACAAATAAATTTTATTTTATATTATTAACTAAAAATTACAAATATTACACTTCTTACAGAAGTATTAAATCATATTAAAAACCCTATCCAATAATTCATTTTACACATCCGATTTTAATCGGCCTTCAGGTAGATGATTTTGTTGATTATGCTAAGAGATTTTTTTTGTTACTTATTATGTTGTTTTTGTCACCCTTATTGTGCGTCAGACCCGAAAGTGATACTTCCATTGCATGGGAGAGAAAACGTTCTTAACAGATATTCGACGCCAAGCTTTCTCACACCAATCTCTACATACATTGCATCGATAAACAACTAAAACGTGAGCTTAGATATATATGGCGTATTATAGAAACTAAACCAATGCACTTTACATAATATGCTAATAGGTGTGTCATTTATACGTGACCCTTCTTATATAAAAAATTATTTATTCAAATCTGGAATTGGTACAATGTCCGACACACTAGAAAATTTGCGTATCCGGTTGTTGCAATCTTCTCCTTTTTTACATATACAAAATCCACCTACACACTCATTACCGGGATCACATTCATTATCATGATAGCAAGCTACACATATACCAACAGAACATGTCCCGGTCTCGCAATCTTTGTTATCGACGCAAGAATCACCAACCTGACACGACCACGCATTATTATTTGGCTTACATATACAAACTCCAATTTCAATCATACATCTGAACTCGTCATTACAATCACTATCACTGGTGCAAGCCACACAAATACCATGAACACTATGACATGTTCCGGAAGCGCAATCATCATTTAAGGTACAATTATTTCCAAGTTGACAAAGTTCACAATCATCATCATTGCAATCACAGCCAATGTAATCTTGACCTTCTATGAAAGATGTAAACGTTTTGGGTCTCTTCTTTTCAAACACAACTTATTAAAAGAAACGAATATTTGAATCTTAGTACAGGTCAATTGATCGGGTCAATTGATGACTTGATAGAAACTGTCCTACCCTCAGTTGTGAGAAACAAAATCATGATCGCCACAACGCAAATTACGATTAAAGGTAAATAATGCTTCATGATTGCAGTAAGAAAATTTTTTTAAAATATTTGAAGTTAAATAGATTTGGGGTATGCACTTACGTACAAGGTGACATATCAGATATGTACGTACGTACGTACAAATTACGCAATTTCCTTATGGGGGTCCGCTAAAGCCTTGTACCCACGTGACTTTTTTTATGTAGATCACCAATCAAAATCATGAGATTTTGTTTAC